CACACTCGATGTAGCGCTCCGTGATGTAAACGAGAGTGCGCCACACTTGGGACTGCACAGCCGTGAAGTCCAACTAATGATGGGGTTGGGGGAAAGGGTTGGTTGAAGCTAATTAGTGAGGGCACGGTAAAGGGTGACTAACCGAAGTGGGAGAGGGAAGATTATTAAACGGAATAAAGATATTACCCGGCGCTTTTGAAATAGCATGTTGAGGGTGTTCAGCTCACTGTGGATGTCTGCAATGAAAAACAAGAAGAAGTGGAATTTCAAGGAAGTCACCACCCGGTACATCTTGGCGTCGACCTGTTCCAGGAGAACCACCACCGCCGACAGCACACTCACCAGCCGTACAATCGTATCCCCGCGAATCAACCACCTGATCGCGTGGATGCCTTGAAGCTCCAGGTTGGTTTGCGTGAAGATCGATTGGAGCTCCTTGAAGGGAGAGTGCGATGTGCTGGAGCGGCCAAGATGCTCTGCCGTAGCGCGAATGACAGCGTCCACCAGGCCCAGCTCAGGGAGCGTCGTTGCAAAATCTCTTGCAGCAAGTGCCTCCCTGCCATAAGAGTACATCTATATAAACCAGATGCAGTGGCATAAAACCAGATGCGGGATGTCCATACGGAGTCGTGCGACGAGACCGGTGCTGCCACCAATCATAACCATCGCTCCGTCTGTGCTGATTCCAGACACCTTGCTGAGCGGGATGTTCACGCTGTCCAGATACCCGGTGAGGATTCCGACGAGGGAAGCTGCATCACACTTGTCAACAGACTGTAGCGTTACATACTCAGTTACCACTTCATTCTTACGGAGAAATATAACATGCACCATCATGTGCTTTCCCTGCACACGATCAGTGCTCTCATCGCAGCTTAACCCGATGAATTGGCTCGAGTCGATGTACTCGCGCTGTCGTGCGTGAAGGTAACTTGCCGTAGAAGATACGAGCTCTTGGAATCCGTACATGAACGAATGTACAAGCACGTATTAGCGAACATGGCAGTACCAAACCATGATGAACCATTAAATGATTTCTTACGTAGTGTGTTAGGCACCGTCACCGTTCTTCGGGAAGCCAGGAGTGCCACGGGACGCGAGATGCCTGACGAGGCTCACCCACATCTCGATGGGTGCGTCCTCCTTCGCGATGAAGAGGAGGGTCTCCAACAAAGCGACAACGGATTCCTTCTCGACGTCGCGCGCTTTCGGGCAGTCCTCGAGGCGGGGTTGCCGTTTGATTTTTGCCAACGCCAAAGCCTGTGCTTGTTTGGCCGTTGATGTTTACGCATCGCGTGGGTCTGCACATCGGTAGCTCCCTCGCCATGTCCGAAAATTGTCCATGCAGCTCCATACTCCATACGCACAAGACACTTCATGGAGGGAAAGCCGAATGATGTCTGACAGATTTGAAGCCACGGAAAATCTATGGTCCAGCGTTTCTTGAACATGAGCAGCGCTTCTTGATACTGTTCCTCGGCGATGTCGGGCAAATCTGTGTCGGACGAATCAGTAGCGGCGGTTGAGACGAGAACAGGACGTGGTTTGTTGATGGGTTCAGATCTTGCATGGAAGATGATGGTGCGGCAGGGCTGTTTGTACGTGTGCCGAAACTTATCTTCGTCTGGTCATAGCGGTGCTTGCTCAACTTCTTGGAAGGGGGTCCTTTCCGGGATCCTACTTGCATCGGCACCTTGGAGCATTCGCCCGGCGTACGAATTGGCGGTGGGAGCAGGCTGTTGTCGACTACCTCTTCTATCGGAGTTGTGGGAACCTCTAGTTCGGGTACTACTGGGCTTCTCCGCAAGAAATCAAGACCCGTCAGTGCTACGGGCCCCTCCGCATCATCGGGCATGGCGGCGGGTTCACCATCGCCCGTAGGCGATGGCTCAGCCATGGTCGGTCAGCTAGAGAAAACCACCGTCAGAGATACAACGTCGAGGAGTTAGGAAAGAAACGGAAGAATTAGGGAAAAGAGGGGTTACGTACGGATTCAAGAAATGACTGGAGAGCATGGACGGGGACTGAGGGGACGATGGCATTCCATAACGTTCCTCACCCCACCACATGCCATGGCGACGCGGCAAGACAGGGGAGGTGAGTATGGTGTTCCAGAACGTTCCCCACCCCACCACAGGCCATGGCGACGCGGCAAGACAGGGGAGGTGAGTATGGCGTTCCAGAACGTTTTCCACCCCATCACCTACCATGGCGACGCGACGTGGGTGTGGTTGGATGATGTGAGGAGAGGAGGATTGTGTGCGTTGGTTGGATCCTGGACACGTTTCAAGGGCAGAGGGGGAAGCGCATTGGAGTGCATGATGCAGACGAGGCAAGGATGTCGCCAACGGCGCATTCTGATTAGATTGTCTGTAGTGACTTGACCTGTCAACTACGTCGGCGCGCAAGCATGTTAGTACAGCAAGGCAAAGAAAACTTGTGGCGCAAATCTTGGGCCGAAACTTAGGATGTACATATCGGTGGTTTCGACCCATAGGGCCCCGAAATAGTTTTTTTACCGTTAAGGGATTTCAAGCCGATTTCCAACAGAATCCTGATTCATCACGGTTACAGGTACACTGCTACACTGAATCACCAGTGCCCTAAAATAGCATTATGCTGAAGTATCAGGCTATCTTTAAAGGTTAATCGATTTTTCCAGCGCTGGCAGCCAAAGCCTATGCCGAAATCAGCAAAAACATTCTACTTTAGCCGACCTTCGCCCAAACCACCCAGTGTCGAACAATATATAAATATATATTGTTCTAACTGCCTGTAGAAATAGTTACTGCTGCCATTTTGTGAAACTATGTGGTGGTGTACCACATTGTCATTGCCTCTTGCATATATGTACTGCTGTTTCTATAGGGCAATCCTCTCTTGTTTGGCCAAATCGCTCTTGCTACCTCTCTTGTTCCAAAACCTAGGTTTCTAAGCAACCTAGTGTTTTAACATGCTATTAGAGCTGGTCCCTCCTAGGACCTAATCTTCATGGGCCCACCAAACTTGCCATCTCCCATGGCGGCCTATTTTTCTGCTGCAGCAGCTGTGCGAGCTGATGGCGTCGAGCTCGCCTCCCTGCGCGGTTCGCTGGCGTTTCGCGCGTGCGCTTTGAGACGGCGCTCGTGGCCCTCGTCGCGGCCCTCGTCGCCCGCCTCGTCGCACAGACCCCGCTGCCCCGTCGACCCCTCTGCCACGCGCAGTCGCGCTCGAGCAGCTGCGCACGCAATCCCACGCGCTGCCCCGCCTTACGCGCATCAGCGACACCCCCCCCCCCCCCCCCCCCCCCCCCCCCCCCCCCACCCTCCTGCAGCGGGGGTGGCAGCCGGGGGATGAGGGGGGTGGCATGTCAAACATATATGCAGTGCGAACAGGCGAGACAGACTTGGGGCTCGTGCTTGGAGGACGGGCTCGAGTTGTCCTCACTGGTCACGCAGACGCTTCCTGGGCTGACGACTTGGCTACGCAGCGGTCGTCACAGGGTTACACCTTCAGTCTTGGCTCCGGCTTTGTTTCTTGGCGGTCTACCCGCTCTTCTTCTGTTCTCAGCTCCAGTTGTGAGGCTGAGATCTACGCAGGGGGCATGGCTGCACAGGAGTTATGCTGGCTCACCTACCTGCTGACCGACCTGGGAGAGCCGCCTCGTTCTCCTCCAGTGCTGTACGTCGACAACAAGGCCATGATTGCCTTGTGTCAGGAGCACAGACTGGAGCACCGAACGAAGCACATCGCTCTGCGCTACTTCCTTGCTCGAGAGTTGCAGCAGCGTGGTCAGCTTCGTCTTGCTTACGTGGCCACTCGGGCCAACACTGCTGATGTCTTCACCAAGGCACTTCAGCCTTGTGATCATCAGCGTTTCTGTACTGTTCTAGGCCTTGTGCCTACTGTGCCTCACTTGCTTACTTCTTGACTCTGCTTGTACTGTGATCTCTATACATATACATGCATGCTTACACTTGCTAGGTTGTGATCACTGTATTGCTTGTTCTCCTTTATATAACTCTGCATGTGAACTGGCCTTGTGGCCATTTGCTTGTGCTCAGAATGCGTGGTGACGTCGTGATCCACCCTGAGCTTGCTTTGCTTTTCTTGACTGGTATTGTGACCTCTTGTTCTCCCCCACTTTGCCTATGGGGGTGTGTCAAACATATATGCTATAGCTTGTTTAGGCTGTAGTGGGGTAGTCAATATGGGGTACAACACTTTAGGGTTTCACTACTTGTACCCAACTTCCTGCTAATGCAATCACTTCTTGTTTCTAGTTTCAACATGGCAGAGGGGGGATGAGGGGATGGCAGCGCCTGCCCTCTCCTCCTCTTGTTTGCCCTTCCTTCTGCTACCGCTGGGGGAAGGTGGGGGGGGAGGAGGGTGTGGGGGTGGCGTGTGTGACCAGCCAGGAGCCGTCCCTCCCCTCTCTCTTCCTTTCTCTCCTTGCAGCACTTGATGCTGTGGGGAGGGGGGGAGAGTTTGAGGGGGTGGTGAGAGAGAGAGAGATAGAGAGAGAGAGAGAGAGAGAGAGAGAGAGAGAGAGAGAGAGAGAGAGAGAGAGAGAGAGAGAGATTGCTGCCTGCCTAGGGATTGCTTGTTAGGCTCCTACCCATGCCTTGGTTGTACCCCATCATCACAACAATGAAGGACCGCTTGAGAGAGAGAGAGAGAGGCACTAGGAGCTAGTCCTTAGCCTCTCTTAGCCTCTCTTAGCCTCCCTTAGCCTCTCTGGCCTATCCTAGTCCATTCCTCCTAGTATTTAAGCCTATGCAGTGCTCCATTCTCCTCATTGGTCTGGTTTGAGTTCATTCTTTCTCAAAAACCGGCGGCTCGCGTAGCGCGGCCTTCGGCCGCGCGTGAGGGGTGACAAGGGAGAAACAGAAACAAGCATATCAAAAAACACAATACAACATGCAGTAGGTACTACCACAACATCAACAGCTGCCGTGTGTCAACCCCACGGTCAGCACAATGGCGAGCACGCCGATGTCCACTCCGGCGCCGCCAGTCAATCAGACAGCATCAGCGGCAAATGGGCCCCCATCCAGCAGAGCACTGGCGCGGTTGCAGCGAGCAGCCCAAGGGCGCTCTCCTGCTCCGCTTCTCGTGCTAACGAGCGAAGTGTCGTCACTCCGGGGACGTCGTCTGCCCCGTCGAGCAGAGGGACCATTGGAAGGTGCAGCAGATCCCACAGCACTGCGGATGACGCTAGGAGCACCCGAACCTGCTGACGGCGGGACAGCATGGGATCCCGCTGTGGCGCCTCCCGCGCTTCTTTCGCCCGATGGAGTTGCTCCAGCACGGTCGCCACGTGCCCAAGGGAGTCGGCGAACGCCCGCATCCGCGCCGCCACCCGCCCGCCGGGATCCACAAACGAACGCGCCTCCGTCTCCCACGCGGGCTCCCCCGGCCACCGCCGCGCCTGGAACTCCCGCCATGCCTCCCACCACTCTGGCTCCGGCTCTGGAGCGCCCAGCGGCGCTCGAGGCGGGCCAAAACCCGCGAAGACACAGCCAGGAGGACCGCCGACATCAAGCGGCGGAAGCGACTGCGGCACCTGCGAACGGGAACGTGAACGTGGGCGGCGAGGACGGGGAGAACGATATGGCCGAGCAGCAGCACGGGGCGAACGGTACACAGGTTCCCACCTCGCTGCCCGCCCGCCGCGCTGGCACTGCGGCCTCACGGCGGAACGCCCACCCTCAGCCAGCGCCGCTGCGGCTCGGAGCAACGCTGGGACGGAGCCAGCCGGGTCCCGTGCATGGCTGGCAGAACCAGACGCATCGGCAGCTGTCAGCGCCCGCTGCAGCTGACCCCACGCGGGCTCAGACATCCCCGCTGAACGGAGGTAGGGTGGCAGAAACAGCGACGGAAACGGCGGCGGCGACGGCGGACGAAGGAGAGCGGGAGGAGATCCCGAAGGAAACGCTCCGAGTGACCAGGAGCGCCACGATGCGTGGGGGGGTTAGGTTGGGACCACCAAGGCCGGGCCGCCAGACTGGCGTGAGAGCGCCGCCGTGGATCCCGGGAGGTGGAAGGAACCCCGCCACGCGGGGTCGGGGTATAGCGCGGGGAGGACGGGCACGGGGAGGACGGGTGGCGCGCGCAACACGAGATCCGCCACGACCGGCACGGGTGGGGACTTGGAGGGAGAGGCACGAGCGCCCGGAGATCACTCCCGAAGCGGAGGGAGATGCAGGGCTGGGAGTTACTAGGACTACGAGTGATGGAGGGGGGAATTATACCCCCTCAGGCGCGCCCTTGAATGATACCAGCCCAGCGGGATCAGGCGATGAAGGTGGTGGTAACCACCAGGTGCGGAGAGGAGGGATAAGGAGAGGAACAAGAGAGGCGGGAAACCAACCAGCTACGGCCACGGCAAACGCAGGCACGGCGGAGGAAGCAGGTCAGGGAATGGATGGAGCAGCCACACAGTCAGCCACAGCCACGGCAACCCCCGGCTCGGCGACGGCGAGGCCACACCAGCCGTCGGATTTGGCGGGGGACGAAGCACTGTGGGGCCCAGTCGCAGCTTGGGAATTGACAGAGCTACATTCCTCAAGCCAACCCTTCCTCACACGCCGGCTCCCAGTGAAGCTTCTAGAAGCCTTCACGCTTTGCCTGCTTACGCTCTTGACTAGACTGGTGAAACACCCGGAGTGCCCGGGGGGTTGGAGAATGTTAACCCTACTACCCCACCTGACACTCCGCCCGGCACCGACGAGCCAGGAGGGGAATCGGTGGATCGAAATTGCAGGGCGTTTGGCTAAGTTCCAGACTGGCGAGTGGGAGCAACTGTTTACCAACGCAAAGTTGCTGGACGGTGTAGAGACACCACAGCGGCACGAACCGGATCCAACCGGGCTGTGTGCCCGAGCGGAGAACTTGGTTTGCAAGGCGAACCTGAGCAAAGCGGTTGCGGCATTACGGGCGACACCCCTCGCACCAGCGACAGTCGCCACACTTGAGGCCCTACAGAACAAACACCCCCAGGCGACGGAGGCGTTACCCGAATGGGTAACGAGTGTGACCTCGTCCAACCTGGCGATCTCAACCGACACACTTCGCAAAGTGCTGATTCGATGCCCAAACAGGGTTGGAGCTGGACCTTCAGGGATGTGTTTCGAACACCTACGTGAACCTGCGCTAGCTAGTGAGGAAGTATTGGGTCTTCTGCTCAAGGTCGTCAATCACCTCCTTAGCTCGACAGTAGCAGCGGGAGTACGGGAGGTGCTGCTACCGTCACGACTCATTGCCTTATCCAAGCCCGACGGCGGTGTTCGACCGATCGCAGTAGGCGAAACGATCCTACGCATAGCGGGAAAGGCGGCCTCACGAGCAATAGGCGCTCAGATCCGCGAGTTCTTCATCCCGGTGCAATTCGGAGTGGCAGTTCAGGGGGGAGCGGAGTTCATCATCCACTCCGTCCGCGCCCTACGACAGCTGCAGCCAGCATCAACGATCCTACAGCTCGATATAGAAAATGCGTTCAACTCCGTGAATCGCGCGAGCTTCTGTGACGCACTGAGATGGTCCAGCATGCTCGAGCTGCTCCCGTTCGTTTTGACGATGTACGGGACGCCCTCAGCGTTGCTTCTAGACGCCAGCCTGGGAGGCCATTCCCTAACGAGCAGTCGCGGCGTCCGTCAAGGAGACCCACTGGGGCCGTTGTTGTTCGCAGCAGCAATCCAGCCGTCCCTGGCACGCACGACGTCTTCACACCCCGAAGTAACACTGCTGGCCTACGCCGACGACATCACACTGATCGGCCCCCCGGAAGCATCGGCTCGGGCCTTCAACTTCCTCATAGCAGACCTGGAGCGGTGTGGGCTTTGTTGCAACGTGGCGAAGTCTTGCTGCTGGAACGCGGACCCGCGGCCAGACACCCTGTTCCCGCCTGATCTGCCGCAGCTCCGCACGGGAGTGAAGATCCTGGGGAGCCCGGTGGGAACCACAGAGTTCTCCGCGGACTTCTTGCGGCGACAGCTCGAAGAGGCCGCGGAACCACTACCACTCCTATCCCAGCTCAACCCCCAGCACTCCCTGCTGCTGATAAGTCGCTGCATATCGAGGCGTGCGTCCTACCTCCTACGCACGACTCCAGCGAGCTCAGTCAGCCTAGCGACATGGCGGGAATGGAGCGAGGGGCTCCTGCGCACGGCCCTCTCAGCAGCAGCAATCAGGTGGCCGAGCCACGAACTGCACCAGAGCCTGCTGTGGCGGCAGGCCACACTACCTGTCAGCCTAGGGGGACTGGGGATCATAGACCCCATATCAGAAGCACCGGCGGCCTTCTTAGCATCAACCGCAGCGGCGACTGAACTACTGGCTTCGTTACCCCTCGAGCCAACCCACCCGCTGGCGGCAGTAAGGGCGGCCCTATCGCCAGAAGATGACGTAACCTTGGCACTCGGAGAAACATTGCGGGATATGGAGGGGAGGCTGCCAGAGGAAGGCAAGCAACTGCTGAGAGACCGGCGCACCAACCCTCGCCCCGGCCACTTGCAGCTGGCCCTCTCACGCGCCATCAACAAGGCCAGGGCGCTCAACCTCCTGGATGACGCCCTCATAGACCGCCCAGGGACTGACAACGGCCACGGTGTCAGGCTGGTAAGCCTGAGGGGAACTGGAGCAGGGGACTGGCTGAATGCCACACCGACAAGGCCGGACCTCACCCTATCGGCAGGACAGTTTGGCACGGCGCTGGCCTTCCGCCTAGGGCTGCCCCAGGCGGTAGCGGCAAAATGTCCATGCGGGGGGGACCGGTCAGACATAACAGACCCGAGCCTGCCTAACCACCTGCTACGCTGTGGGACCGGGGGGGATAGGACACGGACCCACAACGCACTAGTGTACTACTGCATCCGTATGGCTCGAGAGGCAGGCTACACCACGTCGAGGGAGACGACAGCATTCTCAGTCCCCTCCAACGTGATCAAGGCAGACCTCTCCCTGAGGGATCAGGAATTAGGGGGCACCTGGATAGGCGACGTCACCCTCACAGACCCAGTACTGCTCCGCCGAGATCTCACAGTGCGGAAAAAGCCAGGATGGGCAGCTAGGGAAGCGGCAAGGACCAAGGAACTCCTATACAAGGAGCGGCCAGACTGGGTAGGCTTCTACGGCCTTGCAGCTGAGACGTATGGGGCACTGGCCCCACAGACGGCAGAGTTCCTACAGATGCTGGCGACACATGCGGCAAAGGCAAAATTCAGGGCTGCGAAACCAACCAAAACTGCAGCCAAACTTTACTGCCACTACCGCCAGCGCTGGTCGGTCATGCAGCAGCGTTGCCAAGCAACAACCCTGCTGGCCAAGTCCAACCAAGCTGCCGAAGAAGCCTACCCACAGTCCATGGCTGACCCCTGGGCCCCGCGCCTAGGGGATCTGGCTCAGACCCTCGAGGATGAGCTGGATGGGGCGGAAGACTGGGGGACGTAGAAGGATGGGGGGGGAGGAAAGGGAGAGGGAGAGCTACGGGCTGGAGGTGGTGACAAGGGGGGAGATGGCAGGCGGGTCAAGCATAGAGCCAGGGACGGGTCAAGGGTAGGGGGCTAGACTAGCCGCCAGGATGTTCCTCGGGTTGGATATAGGGCAGAATCGTTTGGGTGCTTGTGTGTTTGCTGGCCTGCTCGTTCGTTTGCTTGCTCACAGACTTGCTTGTTCCCTTGTCTGCCTTCCTGGCGGCCTGCTTGCTGGTTGTCTCTCTGCCGCTCGGTGGCTACCCTGTATGCATGATACTGTGCTGTCTCTGCATGACTATCAGTCTGGAAGTTGGTAGTAGACTCCCTTGCATGCCTAGGACCATCTAGCACCTATCTTACCATGCCTGTATCCTTATAAACCCATCAATGAAGGACTGCTTGAGAGAGAGAGAGAGAGAGAGAGAGAGAGAGAGAGAGAGAGAGAGAGAGAGAGAGAGAGAGAGAGAGAGAGAGAGAGAGAGAGAGAGAGAGAGAGAGAGATGGCCTAGGGTTAGTCCTTAGCCGTTTTTCACCCTCTCCTGCCTAGTCCTTAGTCCTTAGACGTTTCCAGGGTTGTTCCCCTAGCATAAAGCACCTAGTGAGGAGTCCTTTGAGCTCATTCTTCACTGGTGAGTTCAGTTTACTCCCCAAAAAAACGGCGGCTCGTTCGAGATAGAGTGAGAGCGAGAGAGAGAGAGAGAGAGAGAGAGAGAGAGAGAGAGAGAGAGAGAGAGAGAGAGAGAGAGAGAGAGAGAGAGAGAGAGAGAGAGAGAGAGATGGCCTGGGGTTAGTCCTTAGCCGTTTTTCACCCTCTCCTGCCTAGTCCTTATTCCTTAGACGTTTCCAGGGCTGTTCCCCTAGTATAAAGCACCTAGTGAGGAGTCCTTTGAGCTCATTCTTCACTGGTGAGTTCAGTTTACTCCCCAAAAAAACAGCGTCTCGCGCCGGCCGCCTTTGGCGGCCGCCGCTCGCCGGCGCGGCCTTCGGCCGCGCGTGAGGTGTGGCAAGGACAAAGGGAACACGGACTATAGCATGGAGCAGTACAACATGCAGTACTAGACAACACACAACAACAACAACAACAACAACAACACCCCTAGGCGTGTCTCTGCCGCCATGGGGAAGCCCAAAGCCAGGCCAGCCACTAAGGGGGCCAGCACAAGGAATACACCCGCTACTCGGCAAGTATCCAGCACAGCCTCCCATCCATCCAGCGAAGGACGGATGCGGCTGCTGATACAAGGCCAAGGGGGGCCCCCTGAGCAGACTCAGCAAGCCGCATCATCGCCCCAGGGCCGGGCCCGAGTGCTGCACCAGGGGCGCCCTGGACAAGTCCGATCAGGGGGAGATAATGCAGCATCTCCGTTGCCGCGGACACCGCCGCCGACTGCTCCGATGGCATCATCCCCCCAACCTCGACACCCTGGCGCGCCAAGCACACGTGGACCTGGTCCATTACGTATGACAGCAGCATCAAGCACGTCCCCATGTGCATTACGCGTTGCTCGACGTGGAGAGGCGTCGCAGCTACACGAGCAGCAGCACGAGGAGCTGGTGGGACGAGAGGGAGTAGCAGCACATGGGGAGGTGGCGGAGGAACAGGAGACGGCGGGGGGCGAGGCGGCTGCGGCCGCGGCGGCAGTGGAAAACGGCGCAACGGCGACTGAGTCGAAGGCGGCTGTGGCGGTTGAGGCTGCAGATGCTGCGGGGCCGGAGGTGGTTGCTGCTGAGGCGACTGGGGCGGCGGTGGCAGTTGAGCTTGGCGGGCTTGACGCTGCCTTTGGCGGCGGCTCAGCTTCACCCTCTGCCATCCCCCAGGCGTTGCAACCAGAGGTGCTGGGACCGGCAGTGGCTCTGGAACAGACAGAGGAGGCGGAGCTGGCGGTGTCACCAGAGCCTGTAACGGCGGCTGTGCTGGCTGCGGTGGTGACAGCGGCGGCAGGGGAACAGGACAGAGACCAGGCCGAGGAGGATGAGCCGACCGCCGTTGTGAGCGCCAAAACATCTGCTGCTGCCGAGGGCGCAAGCACGCAGGGGCACGGCCAGGAGGGGAGTGATAGACGGGGTCACGGACCCGGCGTAGCTGCCCGCGCCGCCCGCGGGAAGGCAGGGAAGAAGAAGCTTCGAGCCCAACCAGCACCGAGGCGGCCCGGAGCAGGGCTGGGACCTGGTCCCCCAGGACCCCTCCTGGGCTGGCTTCTGCAAGGGCAGTTGCCACGAGCGCAAGGGCGTCAATTGCCATCTGCGGGGACGAGTGGTGGGGGCATAGAAGCAGAGAACGGCATTAGGCAAGCAACCACCGAGAACAACAACTCGCCAGCAGCCGCAGCAGTAGAAACAGTACCGCAACAAACACCCCGCCGTGAAACACGGAGCACAACACGTGCCTAGGGGATTACCTGGGGCCAACCGCGAGGTCACCAGACAGTCCCGGCTAACACGCCGTGGATCCCGGCGGACCGAGCACCACAGGCCGGGCGAGGTGGACGAAACGCTGAGAATTTGGGTAGGGGAGGCGCAACGGCAGGCACGGGGAGAGGCGGAGCCCGCGGGGCAAGAGGCGGACGGAGAGGAGGTGGTGCAATCGTTGGTGGAAAGAGGCACTGCTGCGTTCGAGAACGTGGCGGGAACGCCACGATCGCCCTGAACAGGTGGCGGATCCTACGACTCAGAATGAAGCAGATGCTGAAAGGGGTGAGGACGGGGAGGATTATGAAGCTTCGGCCTCAATGCCCTCGGAAGAAATCTCGCTGGAAGAGGAAGGAGAGGGGACAACGAGAGGGGAGCGAGGGCGACGGGAGGAGAGGAGAAACCCTCGGGAGGAGAGAGTGAACGAGGAAGCCCCAAATGAGGGACAGAGTGACTCAGGGGCCAGATCACCATCTGACTTGGCGGATGACTCTTCCATCTGGGAGCTGGCAGCCACGTGGGACAAATATCCACTCCAAAAAGGGGATCAACCCTTCGTGGTACGCAGAATGCCGCCCAAGATCCTGGAGAGCTACACGCTCTGCCTCCTGGCGCCACTCATTCGACTCTCGAAAAAATCCTGACTGCCCAGGTGCATGGGCGATCCTACAGTATTTACCGAGCCTGACGCTACGTCCGGCACCTGAACCTGTTGCAAGCAGTCGGTGGACAGCAATAGAGCTGCGCCTGCACTAGTTCCAACTCGGCACCTGGCAGCCCCTCTACACCGACGCGTGTGTCATCCCCGACAATGAGAGTCCGGTACGACACCAACCGGATGATGCAGGTTTATGCGCAAGGGCGGAGGGGTTGATACGGAAAGGAAATATTTCCAAAGCGGTAGCAGCGTTACGAACTACACCGCTCGCAGAAGCCACGGCGGCAACATTGACGGCACTCCAATCGAAACACCCCGCAGCTGAAACATCGCTACCAGGCCTGGTTACCGGGTTCAACCGCTCGACCCTCAGCGTGTCGGCGGACGAGCTTCGCGAAATTCTCAAGAAATGTCCGAACGGGGTTGGAGCAGGCCCATCAGGCACCTGTTTCGAACACCTCAAGGATCCAGCACTGGCAAACGGAGAGGTGCTTATCCTACTCGCTAAGACAGTGACTTACCTGCTGAGCACGTTCAAAACACAATCGACCCGCGACCTGCTGCTGCCTTCACGGTTAATCGCCCTAGAAAAGCCAGGAGGAGGCGTCCGCCCTATCGCGATAGGGGAAGCTATACTTCGCGTCGTGGCTAAGGCAGCACTGAGGGGTTTAACTGACAACATAAAAGAGTTTTTCTTACCGGTGCAGTTCGGGGTGGCGATACCGGGAGGCGCTGAGTGTATCATACACTCCGTCAGATCACTACTAAGAGACGACGACACACGAGTAGCGCTACAGCTGGACATAGAAAACGCCTTCAACAGCGTCGAACGATCGGCTTTCTTCAACGCTCTCTCCCGGTCCAGTTTGCTGCAGCTCATGCCTCTTGTCAGAACACTCTACGGGGCACCGTCGTCTCTCTTGGTAGATGAGCGTCTAGGGGTGAACCATATCCTCTCGTCACGGGGTGTGCGTCAAGGGGACCCGCTCGGTCCACTACTCTTCGCGGCCGCGATTCAACCGTGCCTGCTTAGCACGGCAACATTCTTACCAGAAGTCGCCATAGTAGCCTACGCTGACGACATAACGATTGTGGGGCCGAAAGAGGCCTGCTACGAGGCCTTTGGGGCCATCACAAGGGAGCTGGCAACGCTCGGCCTCCGCTGCAACATCGCAAAATCATCAGCATGGGGACAAACCCTCACGGACGACGACGGCACGGCACCTCCTATCGGTCTGCAGCAGATCGCAGACGGGATTCGGGTTGTAGGCAGCCTAGTCGGCTCGCCTGCTTTTTGCACCGCCCAAGCACAGTCGAGGCTAGATGAGGTGTCGGCCCCATTACCTCTGGTGGCGCAGCTCCACCCGCAGAGCGCGATGCTCATCCTCACGAGGAGCATATCCCGCCGAATCTCCTACCTGCTGAGGACGACACCGGCGGAAGTATTGGAGAGAGAGGGGTGGAGGGGCTGGAGTGAAACACTGATGGCAGCAGCACTAGCAGCGGCGAAGCTCCGGGTACCCCCAAACGAGCTGGAGAGGAGTCTGTTGTGGCGCCAGGGAACTCTACCGGTCAGGTTGGGGGGATTGGGGATTATTGACCCCGTCTCAGAGGCACTTGCCGCCTACATTGCCTCGGTCACGGCGGCGCAGCAACTTTTACGGCAGATGAACCTACCTGAGGCCTACCTCTTGAGCAGGGCGGTCGAGCTGCTGAACCACGATTGGACCCCTGACCCACCTGGTATCAACCCCCTGACACCACTGGAAGCTGGGCTGCCCATGGCTGCACGGGCGGCACTACACACCTACAGGGAGCAGCCGGCAGGGCAAGGGAACCTTCAACTGACCCTGTCTCGCCACATCAATGAGACAAGGGCGGTGGAGCTGCTGGCTGACACGATAGAGGACCGCCCAGGGAAGGACCGGGGGCACGCAGTGCGGCTCATCAGCTTGCAAGGGGTGGGAGCGAGGGACTGGCTCCATGCCATCCCAACGAGATCTGACCTTACATTTGCCCCTGGTCAGTACTCATTGGCACTTGGCTTCCGCCTCGGCATGGCCCTTCCAGTCACAGTTGCCTGCCCGTGCAAGCGTGCCAACACAGCAATCACCGACACGAGCCTAGCAAACCACCTCTTACGGTGTGGTTACGGGGGAGATGTCATCCGCACACACAATGCCCTGGTGTTCGCTCTGCTCCGGATGGCAAAGGAGGCCGACTTCACCGTTTTCCATGAAACTACTGCCTTCTCCCCACCGGTGATCAGGAAGAGAGGTGATCTTGCTATTCGTGACAAGGAGTCGAATGAGACATGGGTCACCGACGTGACGGTGACTGATCCAGTGCTGCAGTGCCGCGAAAAACGTGTCCGGAAGCCTCCTGGATGGGCGGCAAGGGAAGCCTCGGAGAGGAAACACATGATCTATGAGGGGCGGCCTGATTACGTGGGTTTCTTTGGGTTGGCAGTGGAGACGTACGGTGCCTTAGCTATGGATACACAGCAGTTTATCCGCCTTCTAGCAACCTCGGCAGCAAAAAGGAGGTTCCGCCAGGGGAGGCTCACCACCACCACTGCACGGCTCACCGCTCACTACAGGGACCCTTGGGAACCTAGCCTAGGGGACCTCTGGCAGGTCCTCGAGGATGAGATGGACGGGGTGATGGGTCAGTAAGCAGGATAGCTGCGAGCTAGGTGTCTAGCTGAGTGTTAGCCACCTGCATTGCCTGTCTTGCCTTGTCTTGTTTGCCTTGCCTTGACTTCCTTGCCTGGCCTTTCTCGCCTTGCTCGGCTTGGAGTTGCCTTGTCTGCCTGCCATGCCTGTTTGTGCCTTGCCTTCCCTTGCCTTTCCTCTTCTGCCCTCAAGGTCCTGACCTGCTGGTACCATTGGTTTGCTAGCTCGACCTCCCACTGACTACTTGTTGTGCCTACCTTGGCCCTGCCTCGCATAACTGGTTGCTCATAGGACTAGGCCTGTTCTGTACTTTGCTCTTGCCAATGCCTGTACCTCTATGAACCTATCAATGAAGGACTGCTTGAGAGAGAGAGAGAGAGAGAGAGAGAGAGAGAGAGAGAGAGAGAGAGAGAGAGAGCGAGAGAGAGAGAGAGAGAGAGAGAGAGAGTGTTCTTGCCTCTGCCCTCTACCCTCAGCCCTCTGCCCTCTCCTATTCCAGCCATATAAGGGGCCTTCTAGGCCTCTCTTCTTCATTGTGTGGCGGAAGAATAATTTTCGCTCGTTCGAGAGAGCGAGAGAGAGAGAGAGAGTGTGTTCTTGCCTCTGCCCTCTACCCTCAGCCCTCTGCCCTCTCCTATTCCAGCCATATAAGGGGCCTTCTAGCCTCTCTTCTTCATTGTGTGGCGGCAGAATAATTTTCGCTCGCGTCGGCCGCCGGCAAGGGATCACACAGGCGAGTTACTATAAGCAACGTCATACACGCGATGGCAGCATCAACACCGGGCTAAGCAACAATGGTAACAATGGGGCAAGAGGAGCCCGCGTCTACATGCGGTGAGCTCCAAGGGCGTGAAGAACGCCCGTCAACGTCCGCCACAGCTCCCGGACCACAAGCGTGCTTGCGCCGATCGCGGCGGCTCCAGAACCTGCGCGCAAGTGTCGCCTCAAACCCCGGACAGCCTCGTCAAGCTGTCCCACAGCCGCAGCGCCACCCTCTGCGGGCGCAGCCAACACGGGCCCCAGGAGCAGTGCGAGCTGGTCCGCAGCATCCAAGCACGTCTCACGCGGACGGTCATGAAACGTCTCTGCGGGAATTGCGGGGAGAGACGCATGAGCAAGCACCTGAATCAACAGCAGTGCATGAAGGCTCTCCGCGAGGCGGGAGAGCTGGCCGAGCGTCGCCTCAAAAACACATGTCTAATGAGGCTGAAGCGCCTCCGCCAGGAAATTGAACGGCTCATCGGCCGCAAGAAACGCCGATCCACCAGCGACGTGAGGAGAATATCGTGCCCCCGCTGCTCCTCCTCCCGCGGCCACAAATTCCTCTCCCGCCACGGGCGGAACCGGCGGCAAACGAAGGCGCACTCTAGGAGCAGGTGCCGAGGCAGCGGGAGCAGGAAGCGTTGGGGCTGGAACCTGCGGAAGGGGGTGCAGCAGCAGGCATTGGATCCAAGGGGAGCGCAGCCGGACGCGGAGCCGCGCGGGCAGGCGAGGCATGCATCGAACTGCTCTGGCTCTGCGCAGCCCTCTCCTCGCGCACTGCTCTCGACATTTCCCGCTGAAGATCCGCCATCATCACGGGCGGGCGGTACGCCCCACCGCCACCGCGTCCGCGGGGACCCCTCCAGCCCCCCTGACCGCCGGGTTGGGCAGGCCAGTGAGATTGCTGTTGGTAGCACCGTGGAGAGTCCCGCCGGCGCCGAGACGACGCGCGCTCCTGATGGAGCGCGGGGGAATGGGGGCGTGACGGGCGGCGGTCAGGCGACGGGGGGCGTGACGGCTGACCTGCCTGGGCCACCGGCATCACCGCATGCGCGGACTGGCCCGCCGCTGAGGGAGCAACCGACGGAGCCGGGCCACCAGTGGTGGTGGACGCCGCCTGCGGTGACAACACAGAGGACGGAGCCGGCGCAACGGGGTCGGCGGCAGGCAACACAACAGGCGCGACAGGGACAGAGACATCGGGAACAGCAACAACCCCAGCAGGGACAGACGCCGGCGTCGCAACAGGAGGAGCCAGGGGAACAGCGGCAGCAGCCGGATCGGACGGAACAGCAACAGGGGCAGATGGGCCAGACTCGGGGGCGGCAAGGGGATCCGCGGGTACGAGGGGAAGAGTCGTTTCAGAGACTGTTGTCGCGGGCTTCAGAGCCGGCGGTAGAGGGGGCTTCGTCGCCGTGGTCACCTTTTCGGGGCCCGACTGGGGCTTGGCGACCACAGCCGACCAGGCGGCAGCGCGCTCTGGCGACGGCTCGGCAGAACCAGCAATCACCATCGCTGGAACAAGGAGGTCGCGGGGCTAGGAGGCAGGCTGTCGGTGGGACAGGTGGAGGTCCGGAGAATGGGTACCAAGCAGAGGCACAAAGGGCTTTCAACGCCTTAGAAGCAGCTAATGAGGAGGATGAATTAAGAGACCCTAGTTATAGGGAAGAATCCCTTCCCGAGAGTGAAGAAGGAGAACCTGAGGAGGAAGACGGGTCGAGAGAGACGGCGGGGAGAAGGGTAACAGAGTTAGGGAGCCCAGCCTTGCAACGCCCACAAGCAGATCCGGGACCGTCCGATGCCGATCGGACGTGCATTATTCCAACATCAGTTTCACCAGCGAGGTCGGGCCGCGCTCGGCGAAATCAAACCGCCAATGCCGATGTCGCGACGCGCCAGACCGCTCCCATCCCCCGCTATTTTTCGCCTGACGAGCTGGCGAAGCGGGTAGATTTGTTCACTGTCATCGAGAACTGGGACATCGCGGCACTTAGCGACAGTCGACAGCCCTCGCTGTCATGGCGTCTACCGCCAAATTTGGGTCAGCTGTTTTCGCTGACGCTACTGTCACCGTTACTCCACCTTTCGCGAAACCATGAATCCGAAGCGGGATGGCGCCTGCTACTGTTTCTCCTGCGCCTAACACTTCGCCAGACCTCGCCACAGCGACCGAACTGGCCGCAGGTCAAAGCCCGGCTCCGAGCCTTCCAGCGTGGCGAATGGGAACAGTTGTATCTGGACGCGGTGGAGGCGGTCAACACACCTCCACCGCCACGACACCAGCCTGACTTGACTGGAGTCATCAGCCGAGCCGAAGGTCTGGCGAAACGTGGCAGTCTGCGCCAAGCCGTACTGGCCCTGGAGTCAACGCCAGTCTGCACACCAAGCCCAGAAATCCTGGACGACCTCCGCTGAAAACACCCTCCTGCTGCACACGAGGCGATGACCTGGCCGGCGACGGGTGGGTCAAAGTTATCCATCACCCACGCCGACTTCGCCAAGATGTTGGGAAGGTGCGAAAATGGAGTGGGGGCCGGTCCGTCAGGCACGACATTTGAACATCTGCGCGACGCGGCCGTAACCAATGCAACGATCTGCACCCATCTGCACGCCTTGGTAAACACGATACTGGGAGGAAATTTACCAGGCTTGGTGGCGAACCTGCTGACAGCATCGCACCTCATCGCCTTGGCCAAACCAGGAGGAGGCGCACGGCCAATCGCGATAGGCGAGTGTCTGACCAGGCTGGCAGCCAAAGCAGCCCTTACAGCCATGGGAGAAGCTGCCCGCGAGCACTTCTTACCCCTTCAATACGGAGTGGCAGTGCCAGGTGGAGCAGAAGCGGTAATCCACGCAGCCAGGGCATTTCTTGATGCCTGTCTTGACAGCCTGGTACTGCAGCCGGATATTTCAAATGCCTTCAACAGTATTTCACGACATCGCAACAGCGTTACAGGAGCCCGGCCTCTCGCCACTGCTGACGTTAGTTCAGCTGACTTACGGTAACCCGTCGCTGCTGCACCTGGACGCCAACTTCAGCAGCGAACCACTGAAAAGCGAACGCGGTGTTCGCCAGGGCAACCCACTCGGCCCGTTACTATTTGCAGCAGGGATACACCCCATACTCCGCGAAACGGCCGAGGCATATCCGGACGTGCTCTGCCTGGCGTACGCGGATGACGTCACCTTTTTGGGGGAGACACCACAAACTGTAGCAGCTTTCACGTACTTCGCCGACAAATTGGCCCACATAGGCCTAGCGCATAACCCGCAGAAGTGCGCAGCCTGGAGCGCATCCACGGTAGAACAGGCGCAGCTACCACACGGAGTTCCGTATTCAAAGGAGGGCGTGCGGCTTCTGGGAAGCTACCTGGGGTCCGATATGGGAGCGGGCAAATTCCTATCAGGCCAGCTAGAAGAAATGGCGAAGCCATTACACCTCCTTGAACGAGCTGACCCTCAGGTAGCTTCTCTGCTACTTACCCGCTGCATCTCCAGGCGTGTGGCTTATCTCACTAGAACGACACCCCTCCACCTACTCCCTCGCGATACTTGGAGCCAGTGGGGACGGGACCTGCTCATCGCTCTGCTAGTGTCATGCGATATCCGCATCCCCACGTGCGGATCCGAGCAGGCTCGTGTATGGGCGCAGGCGTCACTGCCACCATCACTGGGAGGCATAGAACTCACGGACCCCTTAATAGAAGGGGTGTACGGGTACATGGCAAGTTTCACCCAGGCGGCGCTCTTTCTCTCCTCCCTCGCGCTAGAACCAGACAACGCCTTGATCCAAGCTCGGACTCACATGCTCTTGCCACGGGACGACACCACACCACTGCACACATGGCTTACCGAGTGCGAAGCCGCATTGCCATGGGATGCGCGGGAGATCCTGGAAAAGGAGCGACTGAAACGGTCGGATGTTCGACTACAACACGTACTCGGCCTGAAGGTCCACGGAAGCAGATACGCCGTGCAGGTGCAGGACACGAGGCGCATGAAGCCGAACCCCCTCTCAGGCCACACGCAGCGGATGTTCTGGCTGACGGGATACGGCACCGGTGACTGGCTGACCGCGATCCCCATTGCCCCAAACAGACGGATAGGACCAGTACACTTCGCCAACTCCGTGCGCTTTCGGCTCGGGCTTCCGTTTTCAATGCCAAAGAACTGCGACTGCTCTGACCACACAGCTATCACCGACCCCCGCCTCCCAAATCACCTCTTCCGCTGCGGCACGGGCAAGCACCGCATTAACACCCACAACGAGCTGCGGGACGCATGCATTAGCATGGCGCAAGATGCGGGGTTTATAGTTCACAGCGAGTCGGCCGCACACTGCCCCATCGATCAACAGACGGCCGATTTCACCATGACAGATAGAAGCAGCGGGGCGGTCTATGTTTGTGATGTTACCATCACGGACCCCATCAGCACAAGGGACCCTGAGGCACAGAAAGGCAGGGGGTGGGCGGCACGAGAGCAGGCCGACAAAAAGATAAAGCATTACGCTAACCGTCCGGAGACGGTTGACTTCTTCCCTCTGGCTGTAGAAACCTACAGCTGCCCATGCGCCGATGTACCGGTTTTCCTGAAGCTCTTAGCAGACACGGCGGCTCGGCGCCACTTCAACGCCGACTCTAAATCCTTTCATGCCGCTAAGTTTCTGCACCAGTTCAGACAGAGATGGTCGGTGGCCCTTCAGAGGGCCCAATCTATGGGCCTCCTACTCAAGCTAGGCGAGGCGGCAGCAGCAGAGAACCCGCTTGTAGGCGGTATTGGGCAGGAGCTGAACCTAGGGGATTGTTTTGCGGTGGTCGAGCCCTTCCTGGAGCTCTAGAGGAGGTAGTCGGTAGGACTTGTTGCTTTGCTTGTTTGTTACCTAGGCCTCTATAACTTGCATGCTTGTACTTTGCTGCTATATCAATACAAGGACCATTAGAGAGAGAGAGAGAGAGAGTGAGAGTGAGAGAGAGAGAGAGAGAGAGAGAGAGATGGAGAGAGAGAGAGAGAGAGAGACTGGCTAGTTACCATCGCCCGCCATGCCTGTACCTTGTGACCCATATCAATACATGACTGCTTGAGAGAGAGAGAGAGCAGCCAATACACCACCCCCGCCACGTCATCAGCCTGACGACACAGGCATCATCAGCAGGGCAGAAGGCCTGGCGAAAAAGGGGAGCCTGCGCCGGGCCGTGCTGGCGCTCGAGTCAACGCCAGTCTGCACGCCTAGCCCGCAGATCCTGGATGAACTTCGCCGCAAGCATCCACCTGCAGACCCCGACCCTCTGACCTGGCCACCCATTGATGCCCCAACGAGCCTAGAAATTCCATTGCGGATTTTACGAAGCTGCTTAGCCGATGCGAGAATGGCGTGGGGGCCGGCCCGAGCGGAACAAAATTCGAACACCTACGCGATGCGTCAGTGACAAATGCATCCGTCACCACCCATCTGCACGCCTTGGTAAACACCATTCTGAGAGGAAATCTGCCACCGCCCATAGCGCAACTGCTCACATCATCACGCCTGATAGCCTTGACCAAGCCAGGAGGAGGAGCCCGCCCAATTGCGATTGGTGAATGTCTGACTCGGCTGGCAGCAAAGGCTGCTCTGATAGCCCTGGGAGAAGCGGCGCGAAGTTATTTCCTTCCACTGCAGTTCGGCGTGGCTGTGCCAGGCAGAGCAGAGGCAATCATCCACAGTGCGCGAGCATACACTGACGCACATCCCAACTGCCTCATTCTGCAAACCGATATTTCCAACGCCTTCAACAGCATATCGCGACAAGCCATAGTAACGGCATTACTAGACCCGGCCCTTGCACCACTGCTAACCTTAGTCACGCTGACTTACAGCCAGCCGTCACTACTGTTCCTAGACGCTAGTTTCGGTAGCCCACTGCTAACAAGTGAATGCGGGGTCTGGCAGGGAGATCCCTTAGGCCCCCTCCTCTTTGCGGCAAGAATTCAACCCGCCTTGAGAGCAACAGCAACAGCATATCCCAGCGTGTTGTGCCTTGCATACGACGACGACGTTAGTTTTTTGGGTGACCCACGCGAGACCGCCGCTGCCTTTTCCCACTTCACAAGCCTGCTAGCCCAAGTAGGCCTACGACACAATCCGGGGAAGTGCGCCGCATGGAGCAGAGAGCCGATAGACAATACAGTACAGCTGCCGCCCGGGGTGCCGACAAGTGACAGCGGGGTTAGACTCCTTGGCAGCTTCTTAGGAACTCCGGATGGTTCCGCCGCCTTCCTAACCGCCTAGCTACAGGCTATGTCTAAACCGCTGCCCTTGATAGAACGAATGGACCCACAGATAGCAGCTCTCCGACTCACGCATTGCATTTCACGCCATGTAGCATATCTCACACGAACGACCCCACTACATCTTCTAGACCGCGACACCTGGTCACAATGGGGCAGGGACCTACTCGCCACTCTTCTAACAACGTGCGGCATACGCTTCCCGACGGATAGTGTAGAACAGACCCGGGTTTGGGAGCAGTCATCACTTCCGCCGTCGCTTGGCGGTATTGGACTCACAGACCCCACGGTAGAAGGAACGTTTGGCTTCTTGGCTAGCATCACACAGGCATCACTCCTCCTTAGTTCCCTACCGCTGGAGTCAGAGGAAGCCTTGATGGCGGTGAAAATTCACATGCTGCTGCCACGAGATACCAGCACCGCTCTACACCGATGGCTGATTGAATGTGAAACGGCGCTGCTGCTTGAAGCCAGGGAGATCTTGGACAAGGAGAGACTAGAACCGAAAGGATTGAAGCTACAGCGCGAGCTTGGGGTGAGAGTGCAGGGAAGCAGATATTCCACGCAAGTGCAAGCAACACAGCACATGAGTCTGAACCCACTGTCAGGCCACACGCAACGGTTTTTCTCACTGACAGGCTACGGCACTGGGGACTAGTTAACCGCCATCCCAATAGAGTCCACCCGCCGTATGGGCCCTGAGCACTTTGCCAATGCTGTATGCTTCAGGCTCGGGCTCCCCTTCTCCACGCCCGCAAAGTGTGACTGCTCCAAGCATGTAGAAATCACGGACCCACGGCTGCCGAACCATCTCTTCCGCTACGGAACAGGCAAGCACAGGATTTATGCCCACAACGAACTCCATGATGCGTGCATCACGATGGCAGAGGACGCCGGCTTCATCGTCCATGGGGAATCCGCGGCCTACTGCCCAATTGAGGAACAAACGGCAGACCTGACCATGCGGGACAGGAGCTCGGGCGCCGTGTATATCTGCGATGTTACCATCACAGACCCAATCAGCACCCGGGACAGGCCTGTCGAAGTGTCTGGGGCCAGAACTTAGAGCCCTCAGCTGCTCCAAACCTTGCCCGTATTTTCACGGGCGTAGGCAAAAGCCAAAACTTGAAATCCGGGCTCTGGAAGAGAGTGTACTTGAGGTTACGAAAAAAAACCAAGTTCAGGTGTTAGCCTAATGGGATCGAGCGTACACTGGTCTTCTAGAGGAAGAGTGTCTGTTCGCCACTACTCCCACACTACACTGGGCACTCTTCCGTGAATATGATGAGGGGGGTCGGGGCGGGGGGCAGGGGGTAGGGGGTCCCTCGAATCAAAATCAATACTTGAATTCAGGGGAAGACCCGAATGGAGCCCTTAATCGTCACGGGTTCGATGCAAATCAAGAACTTTAAATGGTCGAGGTGCTCTTAACCTAACCCGGAATGTTCAGGGCATTAAGGGCAAATGCCCTTACTTTGTCAGCACTGACCCGGGACCCACATGCTACCAAGGGGAGGGGGTGGGCGGCGAGAGAGCAGGCTGACAAGAAGATTAGCCACTATGCCAGCCGCCCTGACACTGTTGGCTTCTTCCCCTTGGCAGTTGAGACATATGGATGCCCCTGTGCCGAGGTTCCACAGTTTCTGAAGCTATTGGCGGACACAGCTGCTAGGCATCACTTCAACGCCCAACCCCACTCTTTTCATGCAGCCAGGTTTCTCCATCTCTTCAGGCAGCGGTGGTCCGTGGCTCTGCAAAGAGCACAGTCAGTAGGTTATCTTATCAAGTCCAGTCAGGCGGCAGTAGCTGAAAATCCCCCCGTGGGGGGGATGCAGTCCGAGCTCCACCTTGGGGAATGTTGTGCAGTACTAGAGCCTCTCATGGAGGTGTAGATAGGCAGCTGTGTGCAGCTAGATAGTTCTTTGCTTGTTTGTTTGCATTTCTAGCATCTATACCTTGCATGTTTGTACCCTTTCGTTATATCAATGCACGGACCATGAGAGAGAGAGAGAGAGAGAGAGAGAGAGAGAGAGAGAGAGAGAGAGAGAGAGAGAGAGAGAGAGAGAGAGAGGGAGGGAGGACCCTAGCATCTGTCCTCTTCCCTCTACCCTCTTCCCACTGCCTCCCTAGCCTATATAAGAGGCCCCTTTGGGGTCTCTCTTCCTCATTATTTGTGTGGTGGCTGCAATTTTTCCGCTCGCGCCGGCCTTCGGCCGCGCGCTAGGGACGGCAAGTGAGAGGCATACAAGCGACTATACGCACGACATACACGCAATGACAACAACTACTACCGCCTAAATCAACCATGGATCAAGCCGTGGCGGGTGCTACATCCGATCTGCCTGCAGGGCATGAAGGATGCCCGTCATCGTCTGCCACACCGAGCGCACCACCAGGATGGTTGCGCCAATCGCGTCGGCTCCGGAACCTGCCCGCAGATACCGCCGCACGTCCCTCACGGCCGAATCCAGCTGCCCCACAGCCCCAACACTTCCCCGCACGGGCGCGGCCAACACAGGCGCCAGGAGGAGGGCAATCTGGTCGGCCGCGTCAAGACAGTCGTCTCGTGGGCCGTCCAGCAGGGACTCCGCAGGAACAGGCGGAAGTGACCCGTGCGCCAGCGTCTGCACCAGTAGCAGCGCTCGAAGGCTCCCCGAGAGCCGCCACAATTGGCCGAGGGTCGCCTGAAGAACCTCGGCACGCGGAGGACGGAGTTCCTCCGCCAGAGAGGGGAGTCGGAGTTGAGGGAGCCTGGCCCCACCAAACTGAGCTGGATGCGAGGGAGCCGGCAAAGACACCACCTGCGCAGGGGCAACCGCAGGGCGAGCAGCAGGAAGGGGGGCAGTTGGCGCTGGAGACGCACACCGCGAGCTGCTCTGACTCGTTGGACCGGCACGTCCGTCGCAAAACGCCTCGGTCACGATCTGCCGTACATCGGCAATTGTCACAGGGGCGCCCAACCACCCGCCACGCCCGCGACCGCGACCTCCCCCCGAGCCGCTCTGGTGCGCATGCCAGTTCGCCTGCGGCTGCCGCCGACGAGGGGAGTCACGGCGTCGCCGAGACACATCTCGCTCATCTTGAGGGGAGGGCGGATGAGGACGGGAGTTCCGCTGCTGCGCAGCCGGGGGAAGGACATGTACAGACGAGGGAGCCACGGGGAGCGGAAGGGCAGACCCCCCGCCCGGCGCACCAAGGGACGCGGCAGGAACCGCCACGGGTAGCGCCACAGGAGCCACTGGAGGTGGCGCCAGAACCGGCGCAGGAGGTGGTGCCACACCAGACGCAGGCGCCGCAACAGCAGCATCAGCGGTCGCCGCAACAGGCGACGGAAGGAGAGGCGCAGGAGAGGGTGCCGCGCCAGGAGCAGGAAGAGGCGCCACGTCAGCCACAGGCGCCAGAACGAAGGCAGGTACAGGCGTCGGCGCCACCACGCGCGGGGGGGCGTCCACACCCGCCGACTCTCGTCCAGAGTCGACTACCATGGAGCACGCGTGAGCAGGAGAACCCGCGGCAGACATCGCCGCAACAGGGGCCACAGGCGCCGACAGCACAGGCGAGGCAAGCGCAGCAGACGCCACGCCAAAGGGCCGCGGCGAATACGGCACCGGGGAACCACCACCAACCGCCACAGGCATTACGAGGAGGCAGAGGCGGGCGGCAGCGAGCAGCGGGGCATGGCCGAGGACGGGAGAACGGCTTCCAACGGGCGGCGAGGCTAGCTTTAAGAAACGCGGATGACAACAACGCGGCGGAGGATGAAGCAGATGAGGCACGAGACCCAACCTTTATTGCCCAGCCAGTCGCTGAATCAACCACTGAAGGAAGTGGTGGGGATGAAGGTGAAGCTGCTCCAGGAGTCGAGAGTCGAGTGAATGTTGCAACAATTCCCCGAGCCGCATCTGCACCAGTTGGAATTGAGGGGGAATCAAACCCAGACGCACCCCCCACTACCGCACCAGCAACACGCCAATTTTCGCCAGAACAGCTGGCAAAGGACACTGTCCGCCTCAACGAAGTCCGCACTTGGGACCTGACACCACTACGCGACAGTCGTCAGCCCCCCCTCTCCCGCAAAATACCGCACGACATCCGCACCAGCTTCGCAAATGCGCTGCTGACACCCCTTCTGCACCTCGCACACCACCCTGACTCAGTACCAGGATGGCGCCTGTTACTCTTTATTCCCCGCCTAATCCTTCGCCAGGCGAAACCAGAGAAGCCGAATTGGCCCGCGGTGAAGTTGCGACTTCGTCAGTTTTTCAAAGGCGAGTGGGAACAGCTGTACGAGGCAGCCGTGGCAGCGATCAACACCCCACCAGCGCCACGTCACCAGCCGGACGAGTTGGGAAAGCGCGCCAGAGCAGAAGGACTCGTGCGAAAGGGCAGCCTTCGGCGGGCTATCCTGGCCCTCGAATCTACACCCGTGGCAGATCCAACGCCCGAAACCCTTGATTCACTCAAAGCAAAGCACCCACCTGCACCAGACGGCCACATCGACTGGACCCCACCTGAAAAGTCCCACGTGGCAACCATTACCCCTGCTGCATTCGCGAAAATCCTGTGCCGCTGCGAAAACGGAGTGGGGGGAGGGCCGTCTGGGATGACGTTCGAACACCTCAGGGATGCAGCTATCGCAAACGCAGCCGTTACCACCCACCTCCACGCTCTCGTTAGCACCATCCTCCATGGGCCACTCCCAGAGGAAATCTGCTCGCTACTCACAGCCTCTCGCCTCATCGCCCTCGCCAAGCCAGAAGGAGGCACTCGCCCCATAGCAGTAGGAGAGTGCGTCCTACGCCTTGCGGCGAAATCGGCCCTTTCCTCTCTCGCTGACGAAGCTCGGGCCCACTTCCTCCCACTCCAGTACTGCGTCGCCGTTCAGGGAGGGAGCGAGGCAATCATTCACGCTGCTAGATCGTACACGAGCACGCACGGCGACGCTATGATCCTGCAAACCGACCTGTCCAATGCCTTCAACAGCATTAGCCGCGAGGCAATAGTAGCGGGCCTCCGCGGAACGGCGCTACACGGAATCCTCCCCCTAGTCCGCACGTCCTACGGTGGGCCGTCGGAACTCTTCCTAGATGCGGGGTTCAAGAGTCCACCGCTAGCCAGCGTAACGGGGGTGCGTCAAGGAGACCCTCTGGGCCCGTTGCTCTTCGCAGCGGGAATCCACCCCACTCTGTCCGCGACAGCAGCGAGCTTCCCGACAGTGCTCTGCCTCGCCTTCGCGGACGACGTCACATTCCTGGGGAAACCAACCGAGTGTACGGCGGCGTTTAACCACTTCACGAGCAGCCTGCTCAGCGTGGGACTCCGTCATAATGCGGGGAAATGCGCTGCATGGAGCGCAGTCCAGCCGCCTGAAGGGACTCTGCCGGCAGGTGTCCCCTTCTTCCCCGACGGCCTGCGCGTGCTCGGCAGCTTCATAGGCGCGCCTCCTGGAGCAGCCGCCTTCATAAGGTCACAGCTCCGGAGCATGACGACACCGTTACCGCAGATCGCCAAACTGTACCCGCAAACGGCGTCGCTGCTGCTGACCAGGTGCATCTCGAGGCGAATGTCCTACCTCGCACGGACCACACCGCTCAGTTTACTACCAGAGGACGAGTGGTCACAGTGGGGCCAAGCGCTCCTTCACACGTTGCTCGATGCATGCGGCGTGCGGCACCCGAGGGGCGAGGCCGAGAGAAGCCGTGTCTGGGACCAGGCCTCACTGCCTCCAAGTCTGGGGGGCCTTGGGATGGCGGACCCCGCGGTCAAAGGGCGCTACAGCTACCTGGCGAGCTTCGCACAGGCTCACGGGCTTCTCGCGTCACTGCCAGGCCCAGCAGCAGAACACCTCTCCAACGCCCTGAACTGGTCCGAGGAGGTGGAACCGGACCCGAACGAACTGCAAGCATGGCTGGGGGAGTGCAAGGCGAGCCTCACCCAGGAGGGGCGGGACCTGTTGGCAGCAGAGATAGCCGCACCAAAAGGACAGCTGCAGCACCGCCTCGCCCTCCTGGTTCAGGGGGGACGTAGCGCCGCACAGGTAGCAGCATCACGGCACATGGAGCCGAACCCCCTATGCGGGCACACGCAGCGGCTTCTGTCTCTTACAGGCTACGGTGCCGGCGATTGGCTGATCGCCATCCCCTACATGGCTTCCCTCCGACTCAACCCCGAACACTTCTCGTTCGCCCTGCAGTTCCGCCTAGGACTGCCCCTCCCTCTCCCTAGCTGCTGTGACTGCACGGAAAAGATAGCCATAACAGACAAGCGCCTCCCCAATCACCTCCTCCGCTGCGGCACAGGGCATGGGCGGACCAACACGCATAATGAGCTGCAGGATGAATGCATACGGATGGCACAGGACGCCGGGTTCATAGTGCACAAGGAGAGCACAGCCTTCAGCCCGGTCGACAACAAGAAGGCTGACCTGGCTATCCGAGCCCGTAGCAGTGGGGCGGTGTGGCTGGGGGACATCACGATCACGGACCCGATCAGCACAAGGGACGAGTTGGCCAGGAAGGGACGGGGATGGGCAGCAAAGGAAGCAGCAGATAAGAAAATTGGACTATACCACGGCAGGGCAGAATTTGCAGGCTTCTACCCACTAGCAGTTGAGACGTACGGGTGCCCATGCGATGAGGTACCGGCCTTCTTGAAGCACCTGGCAGACGCAGCAACACGTAAGTACTTCAACGCGGACCCCTCCACCTACCAAGCCGCGAAGCTGCTGCATCAATTCCGCCAGCGGTGGGCCGTTGCCTTGCAAAGGGCCCATGCCGTGAGCTACTTAATCAAGCTGAACATAGCAGCCCAGATTGAAAACCCGGCCCTAGGAGGACCTGAGGGAGTCCTAGACCCGGGGGAATGCTTTGCTACCCTAGAGCTGGGCAATGGTTATGCGTAGAGGACGGGGGGGGGGGGGGGAGGGGGGCGGGGTGGGGGTGTGGTTGATACATAGATAGATATGATGGTATACATGACTGTCTGATTGCTTGCATTGCTGTCTTTGCTCCTTATATCAATACATGGACCGTTCGAGAGAGAGAGAGAGAGATAGAGAGAGAGAGAGAGAGAGAGAGAGAGAGAGAGAGAGAGAGAGAGAGAGAGAGAGAGAGAGAGAGAGAGAGAGAGAGAGGGCCAAGGACTAGTCCTTAGCCGTTTCTTGCCTCTCTCTAGTGTGGAATCCAGTCCTTAGCCGTTTTTAGTCTAGTTCTCATAGTATAAACTCTCTAGATCCACCCCTCTGGGCTCGTCGGCGCGGCCTTCGGCCGCGCGTGAGGTGTGGCAAGGAAAAAAGACAAGAGCATCACAATAGCAAGAATGGGATACATGGAGAATTAACAACTGCAGGCAAGGCACAACACCCCCCTGGCGTGCACGATCCGCCATGGGGAAGACCAAGGCAAAGCCTCCTTCCAAGGGGGCCTGCAAGGGAAAGACACCAGCTACTCGGCAAGGATCCAGCACAGCCTCCCGTCCATCCAGCGTAGGACGGATGCGGCTGCGGATAGAACGTCAAGAGGGTCCTCCTGAGCAGAATCAGCAAGCCGCGCCAAAGCCCTGGGTCCGGGTCCGAGTGTAGCACCAGGAGAGCTTGGCACCAGCCCAATTAGAGGGAGGTAATGCTGCATCTCCTCCGCTGCTGACACCGCCGCCGACAGCTCTGAAGGCAGCATCCCCTTGATCTCGAGGCCCTGACGCGCCAAGCACACGTGAAGCTGGTCTAGGACGTAAGACAGAAGCATCAAGCAAGTCCCCACGTGCATCACGCGCTGCTCGACGCGAAGAAGCCGCTCGACAGGAGGGCACTCACCCCACAAACTCCAACGCGCCTCCGGAACCATAGCACGGGGAGTCGGCGGGGCTGGAGGTGCCAGCTACTCCCACGGAACCGACGCCTGGCGGAAACCATAGAGAAGCAGAGGGCTTGAGCCTGCGGCCAGACCAGCACGAGGGGTTGGGGTGTGTGGAGGAGGCGACGGAGGAACAGGATACACCGTGGGGCGAGGCAGTTGCGGTTGCGGTGGCAGGGGGAAGCGGCGCAGCGGAGACTGTGTTGGCGGTTGATGCGGTGGCTGAGGCTGCTGCTAAGACGGTGCATGAGGCAGCTGCGGCTACCGCGACTGCTGCGGGGACTGGGGTGGAATCGGCGACTGCTGGCGAGATTGCCGCTGCCTTTGGCGGCGGCTCAGTCTTACCCTCTGCCACTCCCCAGATGGCACTACCGCAGGTTGAGGAGCCGGATCTGGCAGTGGAGCAGGGACAGACCGAGGAGGTGGCGATGTCCGCGTCACCGGCGCCTGTAACGGCGGCTGTGCTGGCAGCGGTGGTGATGGCGGTGGCTGGGGAACCGGACGGAGCCCCGGTCGAGGGGGGTGTGATGGCAGCTGTCGCGAGCGCCGGAACGTCTGCTGCTGCCGAGGGCGCAGACACGCAGGGGCGCGGCCAGGTGGTGAGCGGTAGACGAGGTTGCGGGACCAACGCTGCTGCTGCGCACGCCGCTCATGGAAGGGGCGGGAGGAAGTTCCGCGCCCAGCCAGCGCCGAGGCAGCCCGGAGCAGGGCTGGGACCTGGTGTACTGGGACCCCTCCTGGGCTGGCTTCTGCAAGGGCAGCCGCCACCAGCGCAAGGGCATCCACCTCCATCTGGAGAACAAGGCACCGGAGAAAATGCGGGAAACACAGAAATCAGGCAGGCAGAATCTCCATCATCATTGACGGTTACCAACACGGCAAGAGAGGCAAGAGCTGCAACGCAAGCGGTGCCACAGGATACACAACAGCGGGAAACCCGGAGCTCGACACGAGCACAAGGTTTTACCTGGGGCCGGCCAAGGGAAGGCTAGCCGCTCCAAACACACACACCGTGGATCCCGGCGGGGAGAGCGCCGCAGGTCGGGCAGGGCGGGCGGAACAACGAGACCGAGGTTCGGGGAGGCGCAGCAGCCCGGGGAGCACGAGGCGGAGGAAGGGGGGCGAGAGGCGCAAGGGGAGTGCAGCTGCAGGGCGACAGCGACGAGATGCTGCTCGTCGCCGCGACCGGGGAAGTGCTCGGTCGAGCATGCTACGCCGGCCGGGTCCTCTGCGCCGACCTTCGCCCCTGCTCGACGCGGTCGCCATCGACCGAGGTGGTGGCTCTACGGACGATCGTCTCGGTGAAAAAGTCGACCCCCGACCAGTGGCACGCGAGGCTCGCGCACGTCGGCGTCGAAACGATCAAGAGCTTGGCAAAGCATGACGTTGCTACTGGGCTCGACATCAAGTCGTCGACCGGAACGGACCTGCCGTGTGTCTCGTGCGTCGGAGGAAAGCTGGCACGGCACACCTTCCCCGACAAAGGCTCGGACGCCAAGGAGGCACTGGCTGTCGTGCACATTGACTTGTGCGGGCCATTTCGAGTATCTGCCAAGGATGGCAGCTTGTACTTCCTGCTGCTGAAGGATCGCTACACTCGGTTCGTGTGGGTGGTGCCGGTTGCTAAGAAGAGCGACGTGCTGCGGGAGTTCCAGAAGTGGCTGGTGTTGGTGGAACGGCAGACGAAGCAGTCGGTGCTGATGCTCCGCTCCGACCGGGGAGGGGAGTTCCTCGGGAAGGAGTTCACCAACTTTGTCGACGAGAAGGGCATCGTCCACAACCTGACGTGCCCTTACACTCCGCAGCAGAACGACATGGCTGAGCGGGAGATGCGCACGGCTGTCGAGTCCGTGAGGACGATGCTGTTGCACATGGGCGTGCAGCACCACTGGTGGCACCTCGCTCTACGACAAGCTGTCTGGGTGCGCAACTGCTTGGAGCGGTCGACGACGCCGCCGAGGATGACGCCGTACCAGCTGCTGACCGGGAAGAAGCCCGACCTCACGCTGGCGCGGGTGTGGGGCTGCATGGTGCAGTTCATGGTTCCTGAGCAGCAGCGCGGTGGGAAGCTGGTGCCGAAGGCTCGCTGGGGGCTTCACCTGGGCGTGTCGCCGGAGAGCAAGGGCTGGGAGGTGCTGGACTTGACCGACAACAAGGTCGTCACGTCGGTCGAAGTGATCTTCTACGAGACGCTGTCGATGGAGGTGTGGAAGGCAAAGTACGGGCCGGCGTCAGAGCGGACGCAGGCACACCCGCCGACGGACACCTCGACGGCGACGTTCCCACTGCTCGCCGAGGTCGACGAGCATGCTGATGAGGACGTCGAGGAAGTCCTCCCTCCGTCCCCTGCTCTTGCTCCTCCCAACCCCGTCGCGGATCGGCCTGCGTCGACACCTGTGTCGGCCACTGGCGATGAGGGGAGCCTTGGGGCGTCGCCTGGGGCGCCGGCCAATGGCATCGCCAGCGGCCGATAAGGCGCCAAGCTCGTGAAGCCGTCAACGACAGGGGATCAGCAGACAGGGGAGCCGGTCGAACAGGAGGCAGCAGCAGGGGAGCAGTCGACAGGGGAGCAGCAGACGGGGCGGTCGACAGGGGAGCTGTTGAAGTCAGCAGGAGGTGAGCAGCCGGTCGAAG